GCTAACTCACAGATCAAACCCTGGAACAACCTCTGGGCTGATCTAAGTCAGGGCACAGCTAACTCACAGATCAAACCCTGAAACAACCTCTGGGCTGATCTAAGTCACGACATGGCTAACTCACAGATCAAACCCTGAAACAACCTCTGAGCTGATCAAAGTAAGGGCATGGCTAACTCACAGATCAAACCCTGAAACAACCTCTGAGCTGATCAAAGTCAGGGCACAGCTAACTTGCAGATCAAACCCTGAAACAACCTCTGGGCTGTTCAAAGTCAGTGCACAGCTGTAACTCACAGATCAAATTGCAATATTAAAAATTATTAGGTTTTAAAGAGGAAGGAATCAAGGGAGATACCTAACAATTCTACTCACTCACTAGTAATCAAAACCAAGACCCTGCCAGAGGGGGGAGAGGTGACCGACTTATGCCACCCTTGATTCCATTTAAGCCACCGTATTCCTAAAATGAGGGAAGGGAAGGATATTAAATACCTTATCAGTTACATGCTTACTTTCTCTCCTTTCTTAATTTTCCCAACACGGGCAGTAGGATCGGCTCCAAAATCGTCAATTAAAATCTAAAATGAAAATAAAAATGCATTGATTGTTATTATAAAATAACTGTTATGAATGTCGCGTTCTGATTGGTTGTGAGCGCGTGCTTTATGAGAGCACATTGCATGCGCACTTTCCGCTGCCTCATTCTTATCTAAAATAACGGTTTTTGTAATTTGTATTTATTAAAAGAAATAAAAAACTTGGTTGTTGTGCTGTATGCCGTTATAAAGCACTTAGTGATTGGCAGAACACTCGTGAAGTGACCCAAAGCAATCAGCTATGCGTCATGCTTCTTCACACTTCTCTGGTGTTCTGCCAACCCCCACATTTTCTATTTCTTCATTATCAATTGCCATATAGTGCTGCAGATGATAAKTTGTTTTAGTTACCTCTAAAATGCTTTGTCCATTCCAATCCTTTGGTTTGTGGCTAGCCTAGAGATAGTTAAGGACAAAAATGAAATGAATGAAAGGGATAGAGGAAAGAAGRAAGGAAGGAAGGAAATGAAAGAATGAAGAAAGAAGGAAAGCAAGTCAATTAACCAGATGACAAATTGCCATTAAATTTTCATGTTCTCAATTCTGCAACYCATAAACTATTTTTCATTCTTTCCATCCCTCTAATTCACTTCCATTTTAGATTGACAGAAGTGAAAGTTCCTGGCATCATTTCACAGCACATACCACAAGTGCCTCACAAGCCTGTAACAGAGGTGTAAAACCAGTATTGTCCACGGCGCTGGCCAGTTCCATTCTAGTAGATTTATCCAACTGCAACAGAATAAACTACAGATATTAATGACTCTAGTCAAAGGATTATACATGAAAGTTTCAAGCGTTTTAAAAACCTTCAAATTTCAAATTTTATTGATACCCTGAAACAACCTTTGCTAGAAAAGCCTTCCAATCAAGGGAGAGACCTTACAAACTCAACTCATGTGTGATGCCAAGTCCAGAAATTGAACCTGAGACCCCAGGGGTGAGAAGAGAGTGTGCAACTGCTACACCACCCTTGATTCCCATTTTGATATGAGACCTAAGACATATTTCAACTCATGTTGACGTATGGTTTTAATAGCGTCCTCTGCAAGGGATGATAGGTTCAATCCCTCTCCCCAAGGAAAAAGAACCACAAATTACATATATAGAATTGTCATTGTTTTATGGGAGTGGCACTTAATAGAGAGTGGCTAACAAACCTCTCGCACTCGTTCCATGATCAGATTGGAATTTAGAATTTAACAAGAAACTCTTTCTACTGTAATTAAGTCTGAAAATCAAAACCAAGTTGCATTGGGGAGAGGGGAGCCCTCTCACTGCTATGCTCAGGTTTACAGGTGACTTACCATATTTGCCACCTTTTTCATTAGAAGAGGTGCCTTGAGATCCCATCCAAAAGCACTCAGTTTGTGCAAGATGTTTTGTCCAGTGTTCTGTAGACCAAAAGCTGGGTTGGCATTGTTGTTGAGAAGAACTTCAAACATGTCTGTGTTGCTCTGGGAATCAGAAAAGAAAACAAAAGCAATTGTGTCAAAATGTAAATAAAAAATAAATGTAAAATTGGGTGGGTCAATGAGTTGTAAAATGGATGGATAGGTGGGTGGAAGGAGGGATGCGGCTTTGCATAAAAGGTGAATGTGAGAGGGTAGGAGGGAGGGATGGAGTGAAAATAGATGGATGTATGGAAAGTCAATAAAAATATGGTTGAATGAATATATGGAATGAGGAAGGATGGGCAGATGGATGAATGAGTGGATGAATGGGTGGGTGGGTGGATGAATGGGTGGGTGGGTGGATGGTTGGATGGGTAGGTGGGTGGATAAAGGGATGGATGGGTTGGTGGGTGGAAAGAAAAACGAGACTTTTCTGACAGTTGCAACTCACCTTGTTCAAGGCAACCATCAAAGGAGTCAACCCATCCTCATCTACAGCACTCAACTCTGCTTC